CCCCCTCCCTCTACAGTTCCCAGAATATATACCTTGCAGTATCATAATCATTATTTGATAAAAATATCAAAAAATATTATTTTGCTTTTATTTGTCTCTCATGGTTTATTATCCTGCGAATAAACCAAAGAACAGGACTTTACTTTTTATATATATAAAGTAGTAATCTCTGTTTGTCTGTATGTCCGATCATAACTCATGAGCCCTTGGACTGATTTGCCTCAAACTCAAACTCTGAACCTGGGAGAACTACGGAATTGTTAATAGTTTGGTTTGAGATTCGACTTTTATAGGAAAAAACAGCTAAAATCTTAATTTTTGACCAAGCGCGGGTAAACGGCTGGATCATGAGCAACGCTGGGTTCCCAAGCTAGTGTATATATATTCAGTCAATATCCTTGAGATTAGACTGTCCTTGTATTTTAACTGGGCGCATAGTCGATTCACAGTGGTACTTTATCAACCCAGTAGATTCACAGTGGTACTTTATGAACCCAGTAGAAAATGAAAAGAGTACATTCTGTTTTCTCCACTGAATTGATATGGGTAATTTACACATTTAAGCTCTATAACCTTTAGGTCTTAACTGAACAAGACTTTAACCAATATATAAATATACACATAAACTTCTTCCTGCATCTTTTGAAAATATTTTTAAAAAAGGAAAAAATAATCAAAACAGCCAAGAGCTATTTTCCACCTAATTGCTTTATACTTGTACTGTTAATATAATCATCAATTTTGTGATTGTAAACTCTATCTGTATACAGATACATTTATTTTAGAAATAAACTTTATCTTATCTTATCTTATCTTAACTGTTGGCAGCCTCTTGGATCCGGTTTTTTACAATTAAAGTTTTGTTTTATTAGAATTGAATCTAATAAGCTGAGAAAATACTATTTTATTGGTTTTTAAATTTTGTAGAAAAAAAAACTAGTTTTCTGTTCGAGAATAAAAACAAATGTGATGGCTTGACGCTTATATCCAAAGTTATTTTTTTTCAGTTTCATGAAAACTTTTTAAAAATTATATGGAATTTTGACAAAGTTTAGGATTTTCTTTCAAAGTTTTATGATATTTTATCAATGTTTTATGGCATTTTATCAAAGTTTATAATATTTAAAAAAAAGCAATATATTTGATATTTTTTATTTCGACAGGGGTTTATGATAGATCAAACTGTCTCTGGTTATTCTAAAAGGTAGAAATGTTTCTTTTCAAACATCTATCAAAACTGTTATATTTCTTTAATGCCATATTGATAAAAATATATATATGTTATATATGTTAGATATAGCTTGCTCAACGGATTGACCAATGACTGAAATTTTTTACGAGAGCAAATTTTTTTAAATTTTATTTTTTCAAAATTAGATTTTTTATAAATTCTTAATTTTTCAGCTCTAATCTATAAAACACCTTCACCTCAGCTCACATCCTTTATACGTGCTGCAGGTGCATGTTGTGTGGTCTAAACTACCTATTTATATATATTTATATTCATATAAACCTCTGTATTCGATTTTAATAACACAATCAAAGCATAGCAGCAGCTGCATATGGAAGCTTGGGGGAGAAGGGCTTTCCTGCCCCCCCTAACCCCCTCCTTCGGTTTAATGTTTAGGATGTAATCAATTTCTTTTATATTTTCCTGTTTTTAAATGCTAATCGTTTCCAGACTTATATCAATTTAATAATAATAATAATAAATAGATTTCTATTTTTATTTTAAAAAGATAGGAACGCAAATAAATCGGAAAAGATTTGTTGTTGTTGTTTAAGCAAACGCAAAATTTACAGATCTGTCGGAGGTATTAAATGTTTAGTTTGGCTACCGGAGAAAATCTTGGTCAAAAACTACCTTGCAGCGGAGTAAGATCATTTGTTTTGTTTAACAAACGTATCTAGAAGAAATGAACAAAAGTTCGTTCAAATGATTGCGGGATTATGGTTATTTAATATACAGGATAATATACAGGATTTAATTATAAACAAAAAAATACAAGCAAATGAAATTGGGAAAAAATTTATGAACAGAATAAATTTTTTACATGTAAATATAAATTTAAAATAGGGACAACAAAAATAATATGGCTGGTTTCAGTTGTCTGAACACAGATTCAAGTGTTATGCTGAAGCTTTATACGAGACCCCTACCGGTGATAAACTAAACTAAACTAGCACCTGAAAGAGGCAGGTATTTAGCTCTACCAGAACTGCATACAGGGCTTCATGGGGAGGGAGCGGGTTACTCGATAAATACATTGCAGCACACCTTGGAGTTTAAGCGTTAAAGGAAAATGCACTTCTTGGTGATGGGGAGGNTAATAATAATAATAATAATAATAATAATAATAATAATAATAATAATAATAATAATAATAATATATTACATAAAAGGGAGGAAATCTATAACTGTATTCTGAATACCTATATATACTGTATATCTGTATATATTACATAAAAGGGAGGAAATCTATAACTGTATTCTAAATACCTATATATACTGTATATCTGTATATAATATATATTACATAAAAGGGAGGAAATATCAAAAATAACAAATTTATCACAAAGAGATCAATCAAGTGTAATGTTGCTCGTAAATAAAGTTAAAATTTATCTATCTATCTATCTATCTATCTAGAAGGGTATAGAGCATAACTAAATGAATTTAGCTGTCACTGTGTACAAAGAAATTTATTCATCTGATCTACCGACCCATATTTGTTCAACTCTTCCTTTAACATTCTATTAGACCCCAACCCTCCACCCACAGGGACATGTTTTTATTTTTTTTAGAATTTATTACAAATATCATAACAAGGATTTATAAACTTTACATAAACTAAATCTTCTTTATATATTTATATATAGAAGTAGTGATCTCTGTTTCTCTGTTTTGTATGTCCGAACATGACTCATCCACCCTCAGACCGATTTGCCTCAACATGTCATTGGGGGACTAGAGCACGGTAATGTACATAACCAGATTTAAAGATTTTTACTGGAATGGATTGACTTAGAGTTAAAGTTTAGTTTACAGTAAAAGCTGGGTTCCCAAGCTAGTATTTTATATTATAACTAAGCTTTTCCTTTCACGTAAATAATATTAGCCTTTAACTGTTGCTCTAGTCGGCAAAATTTCAAATTTTGGCGGATTTTTTCAAATAATCGAGAACAAAAATTCCAACCATTTTTTTCAAATTTTGATGTTCCATAACCCTTCCCTAGGGTCATGTGAGGTTCAACAAAAAATTTGGACTTGATCGGTTCAGCCGTTTTGACGTTTATTGGATACAAACGGACAGACAGACAAGCAACTAGTAATCTCTGTTTGTCGGGATGTTTATAAGTTCAATATAACTTGTTGATTTTCTAAGCCTTTGATCGAAAAATTGTACAGATATACAGGCATAGCTGGGTTCCCAAGCTAGTATCCAATTAATAATAAAATTATAAATTAACCATGAGCGCTCAGCAGCTTTTTATTTTTGCGAAAACTTCTAATTTACAAATGGTTTTGGTATTTCGGTCCATAATTCACCATATACAGCTGATATTTCACCATATATTGCTGATATTTCACTACATATTGCTGATATTTCACCATATATTGCTTTTATTTCATCATATATTGCTGATATTTCATCATATTTTGCTGATATTTCACTATATATTGCTGATATTTCACCATATATTGCTGATATTTCACCATGTACAGCTGATATTTCACCATATATTGTTGATATTTCACCATATATTGCTGATATTTCACTATATATTGCTGATATTTCACCATATATTGCTTTTATTTCATCATATATTGCTGATATTTCACCATATTTTGCTGATATTTCACTATATATTGCTGATATTTCACCATATACAGCTGATATTTCACCATATATTGCTGATATTTCACCATATATTGCTGATATTTCACCATATATTGCTTTTATTTCATCATTTATTGCTGATATTTCACCATATTTTGCTGATATTTCACTATATATTGCTGAAATTTCACCATATATTGCTGATATTTCACCATATATTGCTGATATTTCACATTTATTGCTGATAT